AACACGAGCTGCTTAACGAGCCAAACGCGAGCTGTTCACGAACAACGAGCCAAATTGACAGCCCTGGTTTATATCAATCTATATATAAATAGAGAGAGAGAGAGAGAGTAGGTGATATCAATCATTATTTCACAATAGAACAATTATGTAAAAGGGAAATGTCGGAAAAATGTTTTAAAAAATTACATTGTCGGTATAGATATCAATTTTGATCAATCTAAGTATAAAATCCGTATTTATATATTAATTTTATTCATTTTTTAATTCTTAATGTTTCATTGACCATATTAAGTGTAAAATGATAAATAAAATAATATTTTAAATAAAATCTAAGGTTAAAACCAGTATTTAGATATCAATTTTATCCATTTTTATTTTCTTAAAATTGTTAGGATTTCAGTGCCCAAATTGAATGTAAGCTGACAATTAAAATAATATTTAATATATATATATCGTACGACCACCGACGACGTTGTCGATGAAGTATCGCTCTTCTGCATGGTTTGTAGTAATTTGGCGGTTGTCGGGGTCGCTCTCGCAGGTGTTGGTCGTCCACTCATCTTGGTGTGGCTGATAGATGCACATGATATGATATAAACTATCCCTGATCTTGTAAGAAGTCTACACCGTACTCCAAAATTTGATGATCCTGTGAAGGCATCGGTGAATGCAGAATCTATAACTACTGATGTGAAGGGGTGCTGCCTAGTGTCGCTCTTGAGGTACCTGCTGCATCATATATATGTTGTCGGAGGGTACTCATATGATGACCAAGTCAGCTGAACATGAGGCAGTGGGATTATGAAGGTAGAACTGGAAGGCTCAGGATCATCATAGGTTGGCAATGGAACACCTACGTCCTCCTCGTCATTGTCATATCTTCGTGGCATACTAGATAGGTAGGATGATCGCCTCATGTGGCTACGAACATCCTCTACAATATTTATGGCCTTCCATTTGAGACTTTCATCACTGGAGCCCCAAAATGGCGATAAATACACCTCTATCTCTGCGACGAAATCATGTTGTCTGTATATGTGCCCAAAGGTATTATGCGTCTAGTGGTTCCTCTGCAGCTCTAAGTAGTTGTAGTGTAGCCCATGTCTTGAACAAAATCTTGTATATAGCAACAACTTGATCCCGATCTATGCCTCTAGAATATCTAGCAAAAATATATGAATCTCTAACTATATATATATATATATATCACCCTCACCTCCCAAGCAACTGAACCAGAGGTGCACAAATCTACAATCTGATGTGGAAAATCATGTCAATATGGATGTCATGTCACCCGTAGTTAGCAAAAAGAATCGAATTGTCACTAGAAATAAAATTATGTAACATCAAATGATGCGATAAAATTCAAATACCTTTGAGAGAAATAGTCCATCAAATTCATTACAGTATACCCCAACATGACACGACCGCTGCTCATATGCACTGCTCATTCAACCTAAAAATATTTAAAGATTAGTCTACATTAGTAGATAATAATAAAATTATCAAGCATGGTTTTAAAAAAGAAATTATACATCTATCTAACACTACTTCCATCAATCTCTGAAGGGAATGGAATGAAATCTTTCTAAAGTCCATAGCTGTAGTAAATGCAAACAGCCTGGCATATTCACCAGACAGGGTAGCTTGTGTGAGCACATCGTACAAATTTCCGGGTTGAGCTAATCCAATAGAGCATTGGGAGAGAACTAGCAAATCCTCTATAACCGGTAAGTACTGCAAATGATCTCTGATTTAGATATATAAGGAATAAGAAAGCAGCCCAGTATGATGAGTATAAGCCTGTACATGCCTCTGAAAGATGATGTCATCCTAACCTTCATATGTCTCATTGTAAAATGTCCACCACAACCATCTTAGGGGTACACACGTATGTGATTTAGCATGACCCATCTGGAATCACACTGTAACACTTTGAGCACTTGGGGAGTAGTAGAGTACATTTGAATCTGGGTGAGTGCCTAGTAAATTTTTGCAACAATCCGACCATGAAACCCACCTCTTGCCCTTACCAACAACTCTCGACCCTATCAACACTAGCTTATCAACTCTGATGCTTAAAATTAAAGCAACATATTGCCGAGTAATTATCATCTCCTAAATCAATAAATATAATGTATTAGTATCCAGTAAGCATCGCTCTGTAAGCACTGCAAGAAAACGAGGATCCAACTAGGTGAATTGAAGATATCTGACAACCAAATAACAGAAATCTCTGCTGCTAATCACAGAGGACTTTGCAGTACAGGTATTTATTCTTATTTCTTTTCAGATTGAACAGCAAAATATGCTCTAATAACTGCATGATTTTTGGATTGTTTGCTGAATCTTCCATCTTTTTAATCGGTTATTCCCCCCATTGAGTTTCTATTTCTTATTATATGAACTGTATTCTCTGAAGATATGACAAACGAAGAAATAGTGCGTATAACAACTTAGACCGTGTGTGTGTGTGTGTGTGTGTGTGTGATTGTATTTTGATTGAAAATACAATTGATCAAATGCCAGCTCTTTAAAAAGTTGGTTAAGAATCTTATAATAATGAGCAAATAAAAATCTGCATTGGAGATTTCCGAAGAAATAGTGCGTATAACAACTTAGACCGTGTGTGTGTGTGTGTGTGTGTGTGTGTGTGTGTGTGTGTGTGATTGTATTTTGATTGAAAATACAATTGATCACATGCCAGCTCTTTAAAAAGTTGGTTAAGAATCTTATAATAATGAGCAAATAAAAATCTGCATTGGAGATTTCCGAAGAAATAGTGCGTATAACAATTTATTCACAGAATTAATATGTCATGAGATTCCTCCATGGATGCTTGAAGTCAACAGGATTGTTCTTGAACGTGACAACATAAATATGAACTCCTCGCTTCGACAAGCTAAAAAAAGAAAAAAAATTTTTGCAACATTTGGAAGGAACAACTACAAGGGTGGGAGGACTTCTCCTTTTGTATTCCTTCAAACAGGTTTTGTTTCAACACATAGATAGAACAAAAAAAATATAGTAATAGTGGACAAGAATGTCAATATTAAATACAGCAAGTTCTCACAAATTCAGCGGTGATCGAACAATTAAAGAATATGCCAAAGACATTTGGAGCATACAATCCGCATTACTCCCAATCCTATAATGAGTTTTGTCATTATTCTAAAATTAATGCTTAGAAGAAGCAAACGTGAACTTTTACTGTCCAACAAAGAATCAATTCACAAGAATACGCCACACCACTTATTCTTAGTAATAAAAGATTTAAAGCACAACATTGCATTCTCCAAATCACCTGAACTTACATATTTTTTTTTAATCATAAAAAAATGAAGAAAAAAACTTAAAAGAGGGAAGGCCATTGCGAACAGGGAAAAAAATGAAGCCTTCGGCGAGAAACAACTTTGTATTTGTACATTTTAATATATAACTAGGCAATATATGTAAATATGCTTATAGTTAAAAAAAAAAACAGTGATAGATATATGCATATTTTTTAGGTGACATGAGTAATATGGGTGATGTAAATAAAAATAAATAAATTGTATTATTTGTAAATACATAACAATTGAGGATCTGTATATAAATGCCCTTAAATATACCAGCCAACCTTTAAGTGTAAGAAAAGAGGATTATATGGCTCATAGATAAACACCAAATATTCTGAATTGCACTAATTTCAGGTTCCAGAAATTTTTTTTTATCTATAACACAATGTAAAATAACTGAATGCAACTCCAGAGAGTAAAATAAGTGCAGATAAAGGTGTTTTTATATTGTTTCTACTTTTCATTATGTTGTCTCAATAACTTAATAACAATAAAAATAAAATAAAATAAACTTGATCCGTGATAAAAGATTAAAATAAAACTACAAAATAATTGTCCTCAAGTAGTATAAAGTTCCTTGACAATTAAATTTTTCAACAATAAACATTAGTAAATATCACTGTAAAAACTACACTTACTTCCAGGAATAGGTAAAAGGTGGTGGATCTCATATGATAAAAGTAATTTCTTCATATAAACAAGAAAGAATAAATGAAAAAGTGTGTCAGAATTATCTCAACCACATCAGAGAAAAATCAAGTGTTTTTATTGCATAAGATATTCAAAACATGTCTTGCTCCCCAAAAAAGCTAATTTCCAAGCTCATTCTTAGCACATCAATAATGATAGAGAACTTTTTGTCCCATTTAACATCAATGGAAGAACAAATTTGATGAGTCATCTATATTTGAATCTCAATATCAGCACATATTAAGGCATATATTTAGCATTCTAATGATCAAAACAATCCCGTATAACAATAAAAAGAAAGTACATTTGAAGTACAATAGGGAAGCGATCCAGCAATGGTGACTTTGTACACTCCTTCAGCATTTTTAGGCAGAAATAATACACTTAATCATCATTAAATGACTTGCACTATTCAACTACGAAGAGCGCACATCTATAGAGAACCTCAATAAAGATGGTGTGGCATTATGTCACAGCATTTGGCTTCGCGATACTTGTAGAAAAAAAATAAAAAACACATAAAAAGAGGGACAAAAATCACATCGCCGACAACAACAATTAATCAACAAGGATTAAAGAGGAAAGTCATGTCTCTCTGCCTAACCTATGGCTGGGCTTGCTCAGCTAGAGCAAATATTCCCTTAAAAATGTTCACGTCCCTTGATTGGCTCTTAAAAGCGCAGTATGTGAGGACTATCAAGCAGAGGATATGCCACTGTTAAACCAATAGCGCTTGGATCTGATAGGAAGAGTACAATTGAATTCTACGAGAACGGAGTAACCAACAAGGTGTGAAGACTCTCGAGAAAAGCAAAACCCTCTTCTCAGCCTTACTGCACTTATTCCAAGTTTCCAAGAGAGAAACTAGCTAACCCCAATGAAGTTGAACCGAGTATGGATGGCCGAGGAGACAAGAAGCGAAACAGAGAAGGCAATGGAAAGTGAGGCGGTAGATACCAAGGAGTTCGGTGGCCTTTTCCTTGAGCATTCCTTCATCGCCATCTGCACCATTGCATGGGCTTCTCCAAAGAAGCCTGGAAGTAGCTTTAGGGCATTGCCGAGAAATTGGTGGAACTGTCTCACTATGGGGCAGACCTTCTCTTTCTTAAGAAATTCTTTCGGTTTCCTTTTCCTTCGAGTCTTTTTGTTAACAACACTAGGATTGTAATCGTCAAGAAAAAAAAAGAAATCCTCAAATGGTCGTAAAAAGGAGGCGCAAAGAAGATAAAGTCCTCAGAAATCGTGGGTGCCCCAAGGCTCGGAAGAAAAGTCGCAACGTCGGCAGAAGTCGGAGTTTATCGCAAGCGCGATTAAGCAGCAGATAGGGAGACCCTCACATGTTAAAACCTAAATTGAGAGAGAGAGAGAGCGAAGTGCTGCTCAAGTCGAAGAACCCTGGTTCGCAGTATTGCATCATAACCAGCAAAATAGCGGGAAAATTCTGATCTAAAAAAGATATGGTAAAATTCACATAAATGCTATTGAATTTTTATGTATTTACATATTTAAAAATTAAACTTCAATTTTGATGCGTCCCGAAAGGTCTGCAACAGTACAAAATAATTTAGCACTTCAGTAGTGAACGAAAATCTATTACATATAGATGAAAAAGAAATATATAGGAGAAGACACCTCAATATTTACATGAAAAACCTAAAAAGAGGAAAAAAAAGTGGTCTAGCATGGTAGAAATAATTCATTATGTAATTGTGAATACATAGGTCTAATCTTCTACAAAATTAGGAAAAATAAAGTTACAATACTGATATACAGTGATAGCTCAACAATAATAGTTATAACAGAAAGTTAAGACCGTAATTGATGGCTATGAAGCCAGTACCACGCCATGAATGTTGTAGAGCACTTGTTATAGATGTCGTAATTGAATATCATGGTAATATTTGGTTATGTGCCTATATAAGTCATAGATGGCTGCTTCGGGAGCAACAGTTGGCCATGGAGGTTGTAGTAACGAGTTATGGAGTCCTGAATCATGTAGTTTGTGGAGATAAATTGTGATGACATTCATAAGCAACGAAGACTGGAGTTGGAAGTCGCATGACTTGGGACCTCATAGGCTTTGCTTGATCACTTAGGTTGTAGTGATGAATTGTAATGACATCAGTAAAACGCATGTGCCAGAGTTGGGAGCCAATTTAATTATTATTAGAAGAATTTATTCCCTCCACAATAACAAGAATACTAGTGATATTGAATATGAATATAGGCTCTGATACAGCTCAAATGCTCATCCATGAATATATTATCCACTTTGACCTAGTGACCTCACTATTTTTTCATATAGTGCAATTTCTTAAGTCACCTATCCCAAGATTGGTTTAACTTCAAAATTTATGCTCCAACTCTTACACTAAAATATGTCTCGATCTTTTAGAGTTCAACTTCATTTATTTAAGGGACTTCACGCCAGTAATACGATGAACACAAAAGTAAATGATGTTCAAAGCAATATCATCGTTGCACAGGCAACACCCTCACTCTAAGTGATGATAAGACATCGCAACTTACAACAATAAAGGTCATCAGCAGCCTCGAGCATCAGAAAATGATAGATCCAAATGTTGTACTAAGTTTTTTCTTCGACTTTTTTGGCACAATAGGATCTGCAACTTCTCTCTTTGCCAAAACATTCCACTTCTCTCAGTGCACAACCATCATTCTACCTTAAGTAAAATGTTTTTAATCAAATTTGTTAACAATGTGGTTTTGATATCGAGTGACAGAATCGGTGTTTAACATATTTGGTAGCCATTAAAAGACAACATCCATATTAGATGCAATCTTGACATCATGCAACACACCTTGACATCGCTTGTAAGAGCGAAGTGAATTAAAAAATTAACAAAGGATTTAAATACAATTTTACTTCTTAAAAAGTAAAATAAGGATATTTTTTATGCAATATGAAAGATTTAGGGTATAAATATAAAAATAAAAATATGCGTGCTAGATAATGTAAATATACAGAAATTAAGGGGTATAGGTTCCTTAAGACTAACAGATCGAATTCAACAAAACATACACAATAAAAATTGAAATTAAAAAAAATGAAAGATCTAGCACTTAAATATTTAAGATCATATAAAAAATAAAACCATTATTAGCATAGGATTATCAACAACAAAATGTTATAAATACAAATATAAAAATTTAGGTGTTAGATATGCAATACATGTAAATTTTTCTAAAAAATAATGAATGACCGAAATTGTAAAACTGTGCGGCTGAAACCAAACATACATGTCAATGAGCAAATAACAAATTGATATCACAACATTACTACAATCATTTAATTATAATTAACTCATTCTCCAAACCAAATTACATTTTGTAAACACAAGCAATCAAATGAACCTTAGATCTGAAAAACAACAGATGCTCGAAAATCAAGATTTGTTTCATGTTCCTTCAAAGATTTCATTTGTGAATTGTACCCACAAGCAATTGAATCCCTCTAGAAAGCCAATCCTATATGAAATTAATAAAAAAAATTTCTAAAATTTTAGTAGGTTATTTAACGTTTGGGGCATGACATTTACAGACATACCACACAAATCTTATGCATTTACATACCATACACCCAAATATTCATATTTACATGCATACCACTCAAACCTTTAACATCACATAAAAAAATATCACCATCGTTAACTTTTTTAAACTAAAACACAAAAAAATGTAGTCTATTGTCAAATAATCATCTCAGATTAGAACGTTATTGACAAAAACACCAACTATTTCACTAAAACCTACAGACCAAAAAATAAAAGGGGCAATTCTGCAACAAATTTCTTATAAATTCACTATTTCTTCTTTAAAATTGTAGGCACACCGTAACAAACAATTGAGTCCTCTATTATGGTGGGAAGTTTACAAGCTCCCCTTGCCTCACCGGTAAATGTAGCAACTCTCAATTTGGCTTCACAAAACCTGCAATTCTCCTCAACAATCTCTGCAAATTTTGAAACTTACCTCTGGATGGAAAGTTGGATTTTCCGCAAATAAAAATTTCCTCAACAATCTCTGCAAATTTTGAAACTTACCTTCTGGATGGAAAGTTGGATTTTCCGCAAATAAAAATTTCTGTCAAACTGATGCATTTGTTGCACTTATGAAGGACGGAGTCCCGAGTCCATGAGTTGAGTATGACCTTCGCGAAAAGGGTGATTTCTTTATCGGTTATAGACCATAAATTTGCAATAATTGCGGGGGAGCCTGCAAATAAGTAATGCAGGGACTCTTCGATGAAACTACTGAGATTTCCGCGCGAACGCAATATAAGAACGCCGTGCCCAAAACCATTATCCAGCTGATGAACGTGGATGGTCTCACTAGAGAGAACGTCGTCAGCCAACTGCAGAAGTATAGGCTGTACGTGAAGAGATACAAGGATTCTGTAAATCATTTACTAATTTGATGTGTTGTGTTTTAAGGAATAGGGTTTACTGTTGCAAACTTAGAGGCGTTTTAAGGAATGGGGTTTACTGTTGCAAACTTAGAGTGGAGCATGCAAAAAAAAACACACAAAAGTCAATTGATTCATAGATGGGCCATTTACATACATATCACACAATTCTTATGTAATAACATATGTAACACCTAAACTTTAATATTTACACTCATAACATTCAAATCTTTAACGTAAAATAAAAAATACCACATTGCTAACCTTTTAAAAGTCAAATGCACCTTTTTTATGCATAGTATTATAACACCAAGGTGTTATAAACATAAATATCAAATTTTAGATGTTAGATATGTAAATCCATAAGAATTGTGTGGAGAGAATGTAAATTTCTCAAAAAAGAAATGAAAGAAAATTAGCCGAGCAAAGAATGAAAAAAATCTGAAAGATGACTTTGTTGTTTTTTTGCATTTTGTATCAGTAAAAAAACTTGATACAAAATACAATCAATAGAAAATCAGAAAGATGACTTCTTTGCAAAACAAAGAGATAAAATAAACTTTACAGCAATTTAAAAAGGAGGATTTACATACATACCACTCCATTCTTATGTATTTACATATCTAACACCTAAACTTCAATTTTTACATATAATACACCTTCCTATTGCAAGAAAAACTGTATTTTATCTCATGGGTTTGTAGCTAATGTGAATATCAGTGTTAAAATAGTCCCCTGAATATTTATACGGGACAATTTCAGCCCTTATTTAGAAGCGTCTGGTGAATAATTTGGTTTTTTTATAAACTCTGGGACTGAGATAGCTCTTTGTAAATAGTCGAGAGACTAATTTTACATTTGTCTCTTTTTATATATGCCAATTTTTGTGGTTAAAATACAAATGGAACAATTTGAAGCTAATTTTATTGATAACGTCGTGAGTTAACTAATCCAAAATGATATTTCAGAGGCTGCCCAAGTATTTTGTTCCATTTTGATGGAAAATACCATCATTTACAAGAATGCCCTGCGTTGCTTGGTCTACAAGTGTTCCTATTCCCTATTTCTTCCATGAATTTTAGTTTATCAGTTAAAACTGAATCCTTCTAGCTAATAATCTAGCTTCTTCTTCTTTTGTTTTTCCATTTTTAAAACAGGTTCTTCCACCCTCTACTGTAATGGATCTCACACATCAGACAGAAGCAGCATTCTCTGATGACACTCAAATCCCTATGTAAGAGATCGACTGCAACAACCCATCAGGAAAGCAGCAGCTCAGCTACTGAGTTTTCCAAAAGACTCCGCGTCTATATATTGCATTCCTGTGGCATAAAAAGAGAAAGGGAGATTTACATGCATACCACTCAGTTCCTTACATACATCTATCAACTATTTTTTACATGCATGTCACCTTATCTGTGATTGAAAAGGTATATTTCACTTTTTAAAAGTTAAAATGGTGGTATTTTTTATTAGATGTGAAAGAGTTGATTGGTATAAAGGTAAAAAAGTATAGTATATGTGTTAAACATGTAAATAAATAGAAATTCGATGCTATGTAGGTAAATGAGTTGAAGCAAAAAATTACATATATAAAACTCGATTCCTATGTATTTGCATGTCTAACGCCTAAACTTCGAAACTCGATTCCTCCTATGTATTTGCATGTCTAACGCCTAAACTTCAACTTTTACTTATATGTCACATTATCTATACAAGAAAATATGTATTTTACTTTTTAAAGGCTAAAATGACAGTAATTTTTATGAGATATGAATGATCTGGATAGTATGAATTAGATGTTCAATATGTAATACACAAAAATTAGGTGCTTTAAAATTATTAAGCAACCGCAGCACCATAATTAAATAATAATCGGATTAAGACAAACTTACCACTTTCATGGCCAAAATACAAGAATAGGTCATAATTTTGTAAAGCTAATAATAATTCCTCAATTGTTGGAACAGTTCCTGCCTTGCCCTTGTACATAACAAAAAGTTGTTTGGGCACCAAATAGAAAAATAAATAAATAATTTTAACCTAAATACAAAAAATATTTACATGCATACCATTTAATTCTTATGTACATGCATATCTAACTAATACCTAAACATACCAACATTTACATATTCATCACCTTAAAGATGCATTAAAAAATATTGACTTTTTAAGCCTTAAAGAGTAATGATAATTTTGATATGATATGAAGTATTTAGGAAGTATAAATAAAAGAAGTTTTGGTGTTAGATAGGTAAACACATAGGAATTAGGTGTTATGTAAGTTAATGCCACGAAAAAAAAAAATTGTTTTGAATGTATTCGAAGAGAGTGTTACCTCCCACTTAAGATTTTGAAACCATTCTTTCAATTACCGTTGTATATAATTAAGATACGATCAGGATTAAGCAAATAATATGCACGAAAAGGGTCTATGTATGGAAGATTAAATTCAAATGTTTTCTTTTCACTGACATGATGGTTCAATTTTAGCAAAATGCTGCCTAAGGAAGGCATGTGATAAACCTCTTGATTTTTCAATATTGGCATGCTCTCCCATGAGATCATCTGTGGTCATGCAAGCATGGCTTAGGATAGCTCTCAAGGGCAAAAAACTACTTTATTCAAAAGAAAACTTTCCTTGCAAGTTAAAATGAAGGTTATTCAAATAGTGGACAAGGCTAGGAGGAACAAAAGAAAATCAGCCGGCCTATCACCAGTGCAAATCTAAAAAAAAAAAACAGGAGTAAAGTGGCAAAATAACCCGGAATACATTAGTCATAGAGTTTATACAAATCCTAATTAATCCCAAAACTTTTTTAACGGAGGCTAAAATAATCCTCACTGGGATTGTTTCAACTAATATTAAAAAAGTTTGTGGACTAAATTGACATTTTAATTGAGGAGAATTTATATGCATACCACCTAAATGTTATGCATTTACATATCTAATAAATAAACTTTATTTTTCATATTTATACCACCCAAATCTCTATTTATACCACCCAAATCCCACCCAAATCTCTTATATCACATCAAAAATACAATCATTTTAACTTTTAAAAAGTAAAACATATTTTCATACATAGGAAAGATAGCATGGATGTTAAAATTGAACTATAGGTGTTGATATGTAAATACATAAGAATTGAGTGGTATATATATAAATATACTTTTTATAAACTCTAGGACTAAAATGACCTCTTGAAAAAAATCAGAGTATCATTTTGACACTTTTCATCAAATAAAAGTGTACAATAAGTGGTTCAATACCAAATCAAAATGTTTATTCACTATAAAATGAAAGTGTTTACCTGCATATCAGAATCTAATACGAGAATAATTGGTTGTTTGTTGACTTTTATGTCTTCGTCAACTGCTTCTGAAATCAAACTCTCAATATATGTGAGGACTGACTTAACTCTTTTACTATGGTCAGCAAATGCCCTGAACCTTTGCTCCCCACATCCTCCCCAGCCAAAGAATCTTTTATAAAACAGTGACTAAACAATGCATACTTCAGCAACATGAACAGACTGAGCACCACTGAGTATAACTTTGATAAGATTATCATTTAGTAAAAATCACATTGCGAATTCAAAGAATTCAACAATTTCTTAGCAAAAATTTCGAGAGATTCGACATCCAATCTCTCGCCCAAAATGAACCACTCTCATGGTCTTATCTATTTATCTTTCAATGCTTTGCATCACAACAGAAGAAAAAGAAGCCAAAAAGCCAATAAATAACAATGTGTGCATCAAGTTAATTTTGTAAAACATAAACCAATAAATTAGAGCTTATTTGAGATCATTTTTTTCCTTCTCTTTTGTTTATAAAAAAGTTTATTCAGTGTGTTTTTCTACAAATTTTTAGTTATTATTTTTTAAAAAAATATATTAACATTTCTTTTCAAAACAATTGATCGCTTTGAAATATTTGAATGTTTTAGAAACAACTATATTTTATTCAACTAGTCAAATATGTTTTGTTTCAAATCAAAAAAATGAAAAAAAAATAAAAATTAAAAAATAGAATTGATCCCAAACGGTCTCTGAGTTTTGAAAGTAGGAAGTTGTTTAAGCATAATGCAATAAATTATTTAGTTTACGGTCAAACATCATTTTAAAATACCACTACTCTGAGTAGTTAAGACGGTTGCCAACTTCACTCTTGACAAAATAAGATGGAGGCAAAGAATTTGATTCTAAAATGAGCCTGTACGAGGGAGCCACAACGTCAATTACAACACTGCTCCAAGGACAAGACCAATTGGAGCCACAATGTCAATCTCTATGTTCTTAAAAGTTAAAGAGCGCAAGTCATTTGATGATGATCTAGTATATTCTTTCTGTCTAAAAATATTGAAAGAGTGTACGGAGTCACCATTGCTAGATTACTTCTCTATTGCACGTCAAATGTACTTTCTTTTTGTTACCAGATTGTATTATTTTTATCACAAGAATGCTGAATGTATGACTTAATATGCGCTGACATTAGGATTCAAATATAAATGACTGATAAATTTGTTCTGTCATTAATGTTAAATGGGACAGAAAGTCCTCTCTAGTTGTTGATGTATTAAGAATGAGTTTGGAAATTAGCTTTTGTTGAAAAATAGATGTTTTTAATATCTCATGCAAAGTGCTCTCTTGATTCTCTAATGCGCTTGAGATAATTTTGACACACTTTTCCATTATTTCTTTCTTGTTTATATGAAGAAGTTATTTTTATTCTATGAGATCCACCACATTTTATCTATTCTTAGAAGTAAGTGTAGTTTTTTCAGTGATATTTACTAATGTTTACTCTTGGAAAAATTAATTGTCATGGAACCTTATACTACTTAGGAAAATTATCTTGAAGTTTTGTTTTAATCTTCTATCATGGTCAAGTTTATTTTATTTTATTTCTGTTTTTATTCAAGCTAATGAAACATCATAATGAAA